TGAGGTGAGTGTAAAGGGGGTAAATTCTACGCCTTACGTATTTCCAAGTATTTGCCTTACATGTTCAAGTATTTGTTTTACGTGAAGTGTGTGTGCATTGTTTGATTTATGATTGTGTTGATTATGCATGCTTCGATCTGAGTTATTGTTTGGAGCATTTCAATATCTACGTTTAAGAATTTAAGTTTATGTTTTTACGACGGTTAAGAACGAATATTTTAATGCTTCATCGTTTACTAAGTTATGGCGTTAAGAGTAAGACAAAGTCACGAGTAAAGATAGATAACCTCGCTTAGCTAGCCACTAGCTAGATGGATTCCTACCGGACGGTGATAAGTTCCGCGGTAGTTGATCACTACCGGATGGTGATACGTTCCGCGGTAGTTGGTCAGGCGTGGAGCCGGACGGTGATGAGTTCCGCGGTTCCCATTGCTTAGTTTTAGGTGTGCTACCGGATGGTGATACGTTCCGCGGTAGTCACGCCGTAGTTTGACACCGGATGGTGATTCGTTCCGCGGTGGTCAAACCCATTTGAGGGGCACCCCATTGTGAGGGTAGTCATGTTTAAGAAAGTAAGAAAGTAAGTAAAGCTAGTAGTGGCGCCAGCTAAGTCGAGGTAGGGGCCCCAAGAAGATAAATGATGAGATAACACCGTTTTAAAGAGTTAAAGTTTAAAGGCGGAAGTACAAACAACTTCCATAAGTTTAAGTACGTGTTTTAAGTAAAGTGCGCAAGTATATGAGGTTTAAAACGTAAGGGCGTAGACTGACCCCATCTCACTCACCAGTTGAAGAGTACTAAGAGGAGTTAGAGAGCAGCGAGCTTGAGAGGAGCAAGGCGAGGCGAGCAGCCGCACCAGCATTGACGAGATGTCCCGGAATTAAGCAAGGAGTTATAGTTTGTTTAGTCAGCTGTGTTTATGATAATGAGTATAACTGGAGGTTCAAAGTTTGAGGTTTATTAACTATGCATTTGAGTTTTGCCCACGTGTTTAGGGCATTGCATTTGACGTTTTCTTGGGAATGTTTAAGTTTTTAAGCTTTGTTTTTAACCGGCTCCGGAGCCATGATTATTTCGGTTGTTTAAAAGGATCGGGGTGTTTCATTTTGGTATCAGAGCCGGAACTTCTCTGTTCCTTGGCCTCCAAGGAATACTGGAGTGACGATCTGAGTTTTTCAAGGGTTCAGTTTTTAAAGGAAAGGAAAACTGGAAGTGTCATTTAAAAGTTTGGCCAAACGAGTCAAAGTCTTTTGAGGATTTTTAGAATCTCCAGTATACTCTAATCATGATAAGGAAATAACGTTAGAATGCCCTATGGGGTTATGATACGGCTTGGGAAGGAGAAGTAGCTGGTTCCTAGAGGGATCGTTTAGTGAAACCCGTTGATAAGCGAGAAGAGAAGAGTCAAGGCATCTCCGATCCTATGGGGGGTGTGAGCTTATCATAATAAGGTTCAGGACGGGGCCGAGTATCTAGTACGTCGACAGGAAATGGCCAAGGAGTTATGACAAATGGCGGACATTGTCGAGAGGAAAGGATGCAAAGAGGATTCGCCAAGATCAAGATGATCGAGCTTAGGGTGTGACACTAGGGAGCGGTGGAAAGTTAGACTTTGAGTAATGATGGAAGCATATAAGGAGGACTTAGAATATGTCTTAAGGAATCCGACAAGTCTTCAAGGAGCCGGCGACAAGTGGAGGTGCCATTCAACGAGATAGACGGTGTAAAGGATGAGAATTGGAGAAGTCAGGATCGACAAATTTCGAGGTCGAAATTTTTCTTAAGGGGGGGGGGAGGAAATGTGATACCTCGACTTCGATTTAAGGTCTAAATACAAGTACTGACTGAGCTGGACCATTAAGTGAAATCGAAAATTTATTCTATCACCCGCGCGAGGGAATGAAAGGGAATCAAAGAGGACTAGTAGCCAGTCAAAGCTACTCGATACTAACGAGTTTGGTGAGAATACCCTTATGATCAAGATGGAATAGAATGAGTGAGGTAAGCTATACAGGTCAAGCAGCGGACATCGTCGAAGTTTATATAGCGAATAAATTTTGAGTCAAGGAAGCACGAGAATGAGAAGCATGAAAGGACGAGTCCGAGCAAATTTCGAGGACGAAATTTTTATAAGGGTGGAGGAAATGTTACACCCCGGTCTTTCTAAAGGTCAAATGACTATTTTACCCTTGGATAAATTGATCAAGTTTCACCGTAATATCAAGGAGGATTAAAAATGTGAGCTCTCGGTTCAAACGGTGTCGAATTTCGATGTAAAATGAAGAAGTTATCACCGTTTATGGATCGAGTGGGTTTTACTTTGTTAAGTGGGTCTGGTTTGGATTTGTGGGCTTCCAGGTGAAGAGGAGGTTTAAACGAATTGGGCTTAAGCCCGTTATGAGAATGGATGAGGAAGGCTGGCTTTGGGCCGGGAAAGAAAAGAAGAGGAGGTAATGGTGGCGGGCCAGCGGCCCGAGTTGGTAAGAGAGAAGGAGAGGCGGATTGGGCTGGCCTGCCGGCCCAGATGAAAGAAGGAAGAAGAAAGAGCAGGGCTTTGGCCCGAGCTGAGAGGAGAAAGGAAAGAATGGGCTCGCGGCCCGGGTCAGAGGAAGGAAAGAAAGAAAGAAAAAAAAAACGTGGGCCAATGGCCCATGAAGGAGATGATGACAGCAGTAGGCTGGAGCCCGAAAGAAAGAAAGAAGCTCTTGCTTCTCTGGAAATTTGATCGGAAGCAGAAAAGGCAGAGCGGCAGCGGAACACGAAGCGGAGATGGAATTTCACCGAAAAAGGGGAATGTAACGGAAATAATTAATTTGGGGGTTTTAATTATGGGTTAATGGGGATTAATTGAAATGGTTTCTCGTAAGCAAAAGGCGAGGGGATGGATTCGTTCAAAAAAAAAAAGGGGAAGATCCCTCTCTGTTTCCGGGAAGCAAAATAGAGGCGAGTGGAAGGGAGAAAGTGAGGAATAGAAAGAGAAGGAAAGGAAGGATTCTGGGCACTGGGTTTTGATCTGGAGAACATGAGAAATCGTTCCATGGAGTCGGATTTGCGTTTGGAGGTCTGTAGATGCCTCGTCGGAGCTTCGCCGGAACGTCGCCGGAGTGTCGCCGGATTCTGGAAAAATGAACTTCGACGAAACTTCAAAAGATGGATATGGTTGCGTAGAGGGCGATCTCAGGAGCGTCACGGTGTCGACGAAATCGAATTTGGACGTCGGATGAGGGAGAACCGAGTCTCCCAAGTGTGAGGGTGTGTCTCCTCTGCCCCTTCAATGCAATTTATCTCTTCGTCCGGTGCTTTGGCTGTAACAACGGCGAACTCCATTTAAGATTGGCCAGTGAATCCTGTGCTCGTGCTCGCCTTCGCCTTTTTGCTAGGTTGCACCGGGGAGGCGGACGGTGAGCCATCCGGTGGCTTGAGACAGTGGTCTTCCCCCGCAGGGGGGGGCCTGACCTGCAACGGTCATATTTTTCTCAAACACCAGGAGAGAGGGGAGAGCAACTTCTCTCTAACTTCTCTCCGATGCTTATGAAGTGGAGATTTTACCAAATTTTTAAACGAATACACCCACTAAAATTGTGTTTAGATTTAGAAAAATCCAACCAATTACCATCCGTCCATCCCTACTATCAGCCCAACCCTTTTCCCGTTGTCCTGCCTAAATGCAACCCATAGTAGCAAAAAATTTTATAGGGTTAATAGCATTTTGTACCCCTCTACTATAGTAAATTAACAAACGTACCCCTCTACTAAATTTTTGCACAGATGTACCCTTTTATTATTAAAACGTTACAAGTTTACCCTTCTATCTAATTTTTTGTTAAGTGACCGTTAAATCAGTTACAAAATTACTTTATTACCCCTTATTTACTTCTGATTTCAGTTTTTAATTATTTTATTTATGTTTAATATCAATTAATTAAAAAGATAAACCCCTAAACTAATTGAGAAGCCCACAATCAGAGACTGTCCGACTCCCCAGCTGAACTCTTCCCTGGCGAAAAGCTCGACTCGGCGGCGACACCTGCTCCGGCATCTCCTCGCCGGCGTCTGAAGTAGAGAGTACCGGCGAGACAAGACGCCATCTTCCCGCATTCCCCGCAACGTCCCAACGCCATCAGAACCTCCCCTCGATCACACAGCAGGGACCAGCTTCCCCCTCTCCTCCCCGACGTTCCGATGCCAGCTTGTCGGATTTTCACGAGACGTTGCGACGCTGGCGCTTCCCCGTCGATCCATCTACTCAGCTGCCAAACCTCTACTCTGCTTCTCTCATCGACCACAGCTTCTCCATTGGCAAGCTGCCGACATTAAAAGCCGGATTTCTCTGGTTCACGTACTCACGGAAGTACAGAGGAAGAGAAAACTTCCGTCGGGTGGTATTATGTGCAGGGGGGAAGGGGTGTGTTGTGTACAGGCCGAAGGGGGGAATGGGTGTGCTTTTGTTGTTTTCTAATTAGTTGATATTGAACATAAATAAAATAATTAAAAACTGAATTAGGAGTAAATAAGGGGTAATAAGGTAATTTCCTAGTTCATTTAACGGTCACTTAACAGAAAATTAGATGGAAGGGTACACTTGTTACGTTTTAATATTAGAAGGGTATGTTTGTGCAAAAAATTAGTAGAGGGGTACGTTTGTTAATTTACTATAGTAGAGGGGTACAAAATACCATTAACCCAATTTTATAATATAAACTGATCCCTCTCACGCGTTGCGCATAAAAAACCGGAAACTGCTACTGAAGCCCATCTTCCAAAAGAAGCCCGCAACATCACACCTACAAGATACCAGGCCCAAACTGGACCACAACGGGCTTCAATTGCCAGCCCAACTACTGTCTTCTCCTCTCCGATGTCCTACCTCACTCTGCATTTCCGCCAAATCACATCCCAAATGTAACCAAATCTTGTCTTTGCTTGCAGTGCAAGAAAAAGAATGGCAGCAAAATCAAGCAACCCCTGAAAACCCCCCTCCCTCCTAACTCAGTTACACCCTCCATTCTCACACAAATTCCTCATCACTCTTTCACACCCTCCCCACCTTAAATCCCCACACCTCACCCATCCCAATTTCCAACCACCCAATTCCTCAATCCAATTCCTCAATTCAATTCAATCTACTGCAACCTCAATTTCCCCCTGTGCACACAATGGACGCCACAACCAAGTGGCTGGCTATCACAGCTCTGGCTCTGACCCTGTTTTCGGCCGCCGCGACGACGAACGCCGAGGAAACGAAGCCCCCGCTGGTGGTCAAAGTGGTGAAGGGGAAGAAGCTCTGCGACAAAGGGTGGGAGTGCAAAGGCCTGTCGGCCTACTGCTGCAACCACACCATCTCCGATTTTTTCCAGACCTACCAGTTCGAGGAACTCTTCCCCAAGCGGAACACGCCCGTGGCCCACGCCTCCGGGTTCTGGGACTACCACTCCTTCATCACCGCCGCCGCGACTTACCAGCCGCTCGGGTTCGGGACCACCGGCGGGAAGAACGTGGGCCAGCTGGAGGTCGCGGCGTTCCTCGGCCACGTCGGCAGCAAGACTTCATGTCAGTAAAGACGGGGTTTTTGAGCCGCGCGGGGTGAAGTTGGGGTATTTTTACTCTGTTTGAATTGGGGGATCTCACCGGCGAGGAATTTGTTTTTTTTTTTTTTTTGGCAGGCGGATATGGTGTGGCGACGGGAGGACCTCTGGCGTGGGGGTTGTGCTACAACAAGGAGCTGAGCCCGGAGAAGACGTACTGCGATGACTATTACAAATACGATTACCCTTGCACTCCCGGAGTGTCGTACCATGGTCGTGGAGCTCTGCCGCTTTATTGGTATATACGATTTGTTAATAAGTAGTATTTGATTTATAACTGAATATTTTTCAAATAATTTTTGAGTTACTTATTTCGATTCTTGGGTAGGACTTCATTTGGTAAGCAGATGATAAGTATGTTAGTTAAGTGGTGTATAATATGATGCATAGTTTAATGATGTCTCTGCACAATTCAAATTATTGAGATCAATTAATTCATGTTACGATTTCTAGGGGGCGCCGTTGATGCTGTGGTAGAGGGAGGTGGAGAGGAGTGGGGGTCGTAGGTTCCCACGTAGATAAATTAAAAATGGTTATATATAATATATGTATATACAATTGTTTAATTAGGCTAACTTCAGAATTCGAAATCTCATTCATACGAAAATTTAATCGTCATAGTATTATGAACCGTTCAAATAAAATAGACTACATCAATCGGATAACACTGAGAATCCTCAATATAAAAATATTCTAATCCTACTAAATATATATACAAAAACCTCCTCCTATATCTAAAAATTGCTTAGCTCAACAAGGTTTTTATTAATATCAATTTTATTTTATTATCAAATGTTTTATAACACTTTTTTTTGTGTGTTAGATTCTGCTTGGAAACTATTTATTTAACTAAAATGTCACTTTTCAACTATACATTAAGATACAAATTTAATAAGTAATCATTTGATAAATAACTGTTTAAGTGAATTTACTTGATAATTGAATACAATATTATTGAATTTTTCATAAATGAGCTCCTACTAAACTCGAATTCTAACGGTGCGATGAGTCACAAGCCCGCTAAATTCTTTTTTGAATTGCTGTTGCAGGAACTACAACTACGGCAAAACAGGGGAAGCCCTGAAGGTGGACCTGCTAAACCACCCGGAGTACCTGGAGAACAACGCAACCCTGGCGTTCCAGGCCGCGATGTGGAAGTGGATGACGCCGGACAAGAAGAACAAGCTGCCGTCCGCCCACGACGCCTTCGTCGGCAACTGGAAGCCCACAAAGAACGACACCCTGGCGAAGCGGGCGCCCGGGTTCGGAGCCACCATCAACGTCCTCCACGGGGAGCAGATGTGCGGCAAAGGAGACGACGAGGCGATGAACAACGTCGTCTCGCACTACCTGTACTACCTCGATTTGATGGGCGTGGGGAGGGAAGATGCCGGGCCGCATGAGGTTCTGACCTGCGGGGAACAGCTGCCCTTTGGCAAGAACCCTGTTTCCACTTCTTCGTCTTGATTGTTGTTTCCCCAAATTAGAGGAAATCGATGGGTGTTGGATGGGTCTCTAAATAAGGGAGTTTGAGGGGAGTGGCAGAGTTTTGTTGGGTGTTGTAATCTAAAGGATACGTTCTGTTTTTTTATGTTCTGCATTTCTTTGCTGCGAGTGGATGTGAGTTGATGATCATATATCATATACATTTCCAACCATGGCGTTTCATCTGCGTTGGGTTGGAAATTTGGTTGAATCGGACTGTCTCTTAATGAGAATGAAAGGAAAAAGATGCAAGATAAGTTTTTGAAGTACCATGTTGTTTGGTAAGATGTGGTAAGGTGGAGCCTCGAATTCGATCAATTTGATGTAGTATGTATGTGGATAATCGGTTAAATTGGTTTGTGTAACAAACCGAAGTAAGTGAATCAAATCAAACCGATATGCTGGTTGGAACAAATAAATCGGTCCAACTTTTATGGGTCGAACCGATGCAATGGTTGGAATATTTTAAACAAACCATTGTAATGGTTGGGAGGTAACCACCCATATGAAGAGTCGCCTCCCTTCGTACGCACCCATTCATTTTCTATAAATAGCACCTATCCTCCCTGATTTTTATACACGATTTTCTCATACCAAAACTCTACCAAAATTCAAACTAGTTTTATGCATTCTTTTCAAAAGAAAAAAATGAGTCAAGTGTGGTACTCGCCGATTCAATGTGTTCGTTGGTGTCCGGAGTTTGAGGTATCGCCAGCAGATCCGTTCTTCCTCCACAACGAGAATCGCCAAAAGGCCAAGAGAAAAACAAAATCAGAAATGTAAACCATAGATAAATCCTCAAAAATCCACATGCAACCCACCAAACACGTAGCTTGCGCCACTGGATCTACAGAAGCTCGACGGCGACTAGGGTTCTGGCGTTGCATATGCGAAAAATGAGAGAACGAAGTAGACTGATCATTTCAATGATTTGAAAAAATATCGTGGTGGAAATCTAGGTTTTGGGATGAGAAAAGAGATACAAACATAATCCTTATCCTAGCGGTGGAAGTCGCAATTTCAATCTCCGACGGCGGAGCCTGGCTGCATGTTTTTTTTATAGTTTTTTTTTTTAAATGGTTGAATATACATATTTTTTAATTTTGACATGTCAATAAAAGTCAATGCCAAGTTGACCATCGTCTGGTCGACCGTTGTCAGGACATAATACACATAACTAGCATATGTTCAGACATTTTTTAAATATTTAATAGGTCGGACAAAAGTAACATTTTTTTTTTAGTTCGGATTTTGTAGTGGTATTTACCTAAGACTTATGAAACCAAAAAAGTTACCACCACCTCAGAATCATCATGTCTCCCGAAGCATGTGGGATTGTGATCTTCCATGCTAATGACCCTGCAAGTCATTCCTCTGCTTCAGACTTCCAGCCATTCCTTAACTGCTACCCGCCTCAGTTTCACAGTCTGAAACATTTTGCTATTACAAAGCTAACAATTCTAGGACAAAGGCTTTAAGACAACTTGAAATTAATATAGAAATAGTAAAGGACTTCAGAAACCAACAAAGTTACCACTTACCACCACCCCAAGAATCATCATGTCTCCCGTAGCATGTGGGACGGTGATCTTCCCAAGCTAATGACCCTGATGCAAGTCTTTCTTAATCAATTTTCAAATGACCAACCAAACCCACTTTATCAATGTACCGTTACCTCTGCTTCAGCCTTCCAGCCATTCCTTTAACTGTTGCCTAGCTCAGTTTCACAGTCTGGAACATTTTGCTACCACAGATTACCTCTCCTCTTCTTCGTCTGATTTCATGTCTGCGCTCCCGATAGGAGAGTACGAGGTTTTCCTAAGTTTCAGAGGCCCCGATGTACGCACAACCTTCGCCGACCATCTCTACAGTTGTCTGGCTCGTTCCAGAATCAGAACGTTCAGGGATGAGGAAGAGCTTCGTAAAGGGGAGACCATTGCACCATCTCTCATTCAGGCTATACGTGAATCCAAGATTCACATACCAATTCTATCACAGAGTTATGCTTCTAGCAGATGGTGTCTCCAAGAGCTAGTTCAGATGGTCAAGTGTCTGAAGAGAGAGAAGGGGCACGTCATACTTCCCATTTTCTATTTTATCGATCCCAGAGATGTGAGGCATCAAGAAGGGCCTTTCAAAGAGGCATTTGAGCTGCATAGTCAGAAGTTTGATCCGGAAACCATACGGGAATGGAAGGATGTACTTCAAGAAGTTGGTCAAATGAAAGGATGGCACGTCACCGAGCTAGATGGGTAACTCATTTCACTTTCATCTTCATTCATGACATTAATTATTGTGTCTTCCGTCACAAATCAATCCATAAGGAAAGTGAACAAACTAACATGGATTCCTTATGACACTTACTTGCATTATTTTCTATTACGAGTATAGAGGGATTAGATCAGGTGCATAATCCTCTTTTACCAGTAGTGATATGATTTCTACCACTAATGAGGTTATGCACCTGATCTTTTGTCAGATTTAGGTGAGACCGTGAGAGGATCAAGTGCATAACCTATTTTTACCAGGCTGATACGATACTAACTAGTAGCTAGAGTTTTATTCTTATAGATTTTCTTATTTGATAAGGGCAATTGTTGGTCATGAGATTCCTACCAAAAGAGGTGGTATTACCATCACTCCAACCATTTAAGATTATATACATTCTTAGAGTACTCCAAAGTCCAAACACGCACTCTGAATTTCCGGGGTGCTTAATTAAAACAACCTTTTTTGTTCACTAAATTGCTAACGATGATTTTGTAAATTTTGACAGATGGCTTGTTAAGTTGGTAACCCTTAACACCAAACTACATAAAATAACTCAAAATTAGTCATTTGCAAACGACAATGGTCTATTTGTATGTAATCATGTCCAGTATGTCCCTTCATCAAGTTGTTGGTAACCCTTAAAACAACCATTTTTGTTGCCATTTTTTATTCACGAATTTGCAGGCAGGGAGCAATTGTTGACCAAGTCCTTCATCAAGTTGAGCTACATTTGAGAAGTAATTACACATTAGTGACGGATGAGTTAGTGGGAATAGATTCGCATGTCGAAGAAGTGATGAAGTTACTCGATGTGGACTTCATATCTAGGAAAATTGTTGGCATTCATGGAATGAGCGGTATTGGCAAAACCACTATAGCCAAAGCGGTGTATAATAAAGTATGCTCAAGATTTGATCGTTGTTGCTTCTTAGAAAACGTCGGAGATATATTATCCAAATATAACGGTGCTGTAGAATTGCAGAACAAGATGATCTCGAGCATTCTAAGGCAAGAACATAAGGTTGGAAATACTAGTGAAGGGGTCTCAGTGATAAAAGATAGAGTTTGCAGGCTCAAAACTCTTATTATCCTTGACGATGCAGATGAGAGGTTCGAGTTTGATCAAATCCTCGGGAAATTATGTGATTTTTCTTCGAAGAGTAGATTTATCATCACCACTAGAAACACACGAGTTTTAAAGTTTCTTCAGGAATATAAATTTTACGAACCTAGAGAAATGAGTTATGACAACGCCCTGAAATTGTTTAGCAAATTTGCCTTTGGTGGGGTGAACCATCCTCCAGAAGATCAGGTTGACATATCGAAGCAATTTGTGAAACTCGCAGCTGGGCTCCCTTTGGCTCTTAAGGTGTTTGGATCTCTATTGTTTCGTGAACATAAAAGGTTTTGGGAAGAAAAGTTGGCAGAAATGAAAGCAATACCCCCAACTAGTGAACAGGTGCAGAAGCGATTGAAGATAAGTTATGACGAGTTGACCCGCAATGAGAAGCAAATCTTTCTTGACATTGCTTGTTTTTTCTTGGGAGAGAAAAAAAGGTTACCTTTCTATATGTGGAGTAGTTGCAACATCTATCCGGAAAGTGGAATCAGCACTCTCGTCCACAGATCGTTGCTGAAAGTCGACGAGAAGAAGGGCTTTTGGATGCATGATCGTATTAGAGACCTTGGCAGGGCTATTGTCAGGGAAGAAGATATCGATCGTCGGGGCAACAGAAGCAGGATATGGTCCCAAGAGGATGCCGTCGACATTATCCACAGTAGAGAGGTACGGATTTGCATATAGAATTCGTTCAGTTTTTACGAACTTAGTTTCGAATTCTCAGCATATATTTTGACTTCCATCTCGCAGGGAACGGATCGCGTGGAGATGCTCAGGGTTGAGATGGCAGAGGATGCTACATTCACAAGGAAAGAACTCAAGAAACTATCCAGATTGAGATATCTTGCAGTGAGGAATGGAGGGCTAAGTGGTGACTTCGGCGAGATTCTTCCCAATGTACGGTGGCTTCAACTACACTATGATGGCCCAATCCCCACAAACTTCAACACCAAGGAAGTGGTGATTCTTGATCTGGAGAATTGCCATGTAGAAGACAATTGGACAGGCTGGAAGGTTAATCAAGCATTGGTTTCTTCAACTTCTCATAATTCTTTGTTTGTTTTTTTCTTCTTCATTAATTATGTGAACCCATAAACTGATCTTTTCCTTTCTTTCTTTCTTAATCTTGATGAACAGGCAGCACATAAGCTGAAGGTGCTAAATCTGAAGCCATATCAGGGCACCCTGAGTTGGATTTCCTTGCTAACCAACCTTGCTGAGGTGAAACTAGTTGATTGCAACAACTGCGTCACTCTGCCTCCTCTGGGAAATTTGCCATCCCTCGAGCGGCTCGAGCTAGTCGGCTTCCCTAGTGTGAGGAAAGTCGGACCCGAGTTCTTGGGGATCGCGACGAGCTCCTCCTCGTCCTCCTCGTCATCATCAACCACGTTCGCATTCCCAAAGCTGACACATCTGACGATGGACAGGTTCAGGGAATGGAACGAATGGGAGGAATGGGATTCGAACCACGATCATCGGGTCATGCCCTGCATCGCCGCGCTGTCGTTCGATTACTGCAAGAGGTTGGCAAAGCTGCCGGACCAGCTAGTGCAGAAGAAGACTGTTTTGAGCCTGCAGATATGTGGCGGTGCTCTGAATTTTGCCTATGGGAACCCTGACGATGGGTGGAGCGGAGAAGAATGGGAGAAAGTGAAACACATCCCTTCCACCGATATGGGGACATGTGATATGTATGAATCTACGATGCATTACGGTAACGGCCCTAGCTTTGGATTTTTTTTTTGTTTTTTTTGGTTTCTACTTCTGTGTGCAAAGCCTCCATTCTTATGATCTTTTTTTGTTTCTCTGTTTCAGACTCGTGGGAAGGGCAAGCCTACAATGGAACCGGCTTTTGGCAGTGACGTACAAAAAAGGTGAGCAATTTGCTCCTAGCAAACGCAGCGCGAAGCCAAAGTAACGTAGTCTAGTGGTGAAATCACTGGACCAATTGAGCTCTGGATGTGAGAGGTCTTGCACGGATGCAGGTGTGTTAAAAACAACAGCAACGGCAGCAGCATCATTTCTTTCGGTTCTCAAGCCGATGAATTTCTTGTGTTTGTTCTAAATTATTATTATTATAAACGTTTGTTCTAATTCCTGACTGAAATAATACCTACAAACGGTCTGTATTTTTGGTTAATGATATCATTTTTGGGAATGTATCTTGTTTTTTCGAATATATATATGGTCTGCATTTGAAATTGGAACTTAATTTCTCTTACGAATTATGATTGACGCTCTTTCTTCAAAGGGTGAATGATATCATGTATGGGTTAGTAGCATTTTACTGTATTTTTGCACTTATAAGTTTTAGGGTCTCTCACTGGCAGGACTCAGGATTGTTGAACAGAGGTGTCATTTAATGAATGTGTATCGCTTATAATTAGGGTTATAGGTATAATATGCCCTTCTACTATAACGTTTTATCAAACATGCTCCTCTATTATTTTTTACATCAAACATGCCCCTGTACTTTGGAAAACTTATCAAACATGCCCTTTTATTAAAATTTCCATAAAAAAACCGTTAACCAAGACCGAACTTTGGTTTGTGCGACCCAAATATCTAAAATATCCCTAATAATTTCACTTTAGTTTTTTTTTTGTTCTTTTGTATAGCCAAATAATTCTAATAATTTCACTTTGACGAGACCTAGAGAAATAAAACAAGGGTCAAAACTGACATTTCCCCTCCCATTTATCGGTGGCAGGTCGTCTAAATCTCGGTTCAACCATGATTGATGATTTTTTCAATGGAAATTTCAACTGAAGGGCATGTTTGATAGTTTTTCCAAATTACAGGGGCATGTTTGATGTAAAAAATAGTAGAGGGGCATGTTTGATAAAATGTCATAGTAGAGGGGCATATTATACCTATAACCCTTATAATTATTAAAGTGGTGTCGGAAAACTCGTATGAAATTTTTTTTACAAAAAATATAGGGTTTTCGCAAAATTTTTGAGTGAATGGGTGTCGGACGACATCCCTTCCCATCAAGTAGGTCCGCCCCTAGGGTCTCTTACAGTAACTTGGTTATAATTTCAAGTTAGATAATTTGTATGAATCTAGTCCGTTAAAACATATATCAATTTAGACAATGATTAAGAATCCAATGGTAACTGGCTCTGCCAGTCATCACTACTTACTTATCAACAATTTATAATTGTTACATAAACTACACATCCATTACGTAAAATATGGAACGAATATTGTTTCTTACGTAACACAAGGTTAATTTTCATTTGGTAAAAGAACTATCTATTAAGTAAGGTTTCCGTAATGACACTTTACAACAGTTACATAAAATACGCATCCATTACGTAAAGGTTAAAAAATGATAGTTATAGTAACAGTTTAACGATAAACGTTATGTAAGACTTTCGTAATGACTTAGCACTTTACGTAACACGCGGTTAATACTTAAAATCCATCACGTAAAAGATTACGAAATGATAGTATTATTTATTATGTAACAATTAAATCAGCGTTACGTAAGACTTTTGCAATAGCTTAATATTTTACGTAACACGAGATTAACTTTCATTAGATAAAACTTTCGTAATGACTTAACACTTTTACGACGTATAAATCTCCCATAACCCAAATTGAAAACGAAAGTTTCGTTGTTTCTTGACCGGTTCATAGTTGGTTACTTGCACTCCAACTGCTTTCTCTCCTCCTTAGTCTCTCTTCAGTTTCCCATCCCCAAAGCGTCACCAATTCCTCCACTAACAATCCTTTTCTCTCCCAACCAAAACCTCCCCAAGAATCACCTGCTAACACTTCTCATTGGCCACACCTCCAAGTTTTTCCCTAATCTGTTTACCCGATTCGGTTGTCAGTCATATCAATCTGCCCAAGAAATCATTTCTATATGCCTCCATGCTAACGAAATTAAACCCACTAATGAATAAAATACTGTGGTTGGTGGTGCTTGTTTTTCTTATATATACCAACCTCAAGATTTCATCCCCTCTACTCCATTACCATACCACAAACTGTTCTATCGATCGCCAACAGCTTCTCCCCTTAGCACCACAAATTTTCAGCCATGGCAGCTTCATCAACATTCAGCTTTGGAGTCACAGCTTTCCTCCTTGTATCGATACTGATTTCCCCCTTTCAACTAGGTATGAGACACAGCTTTCAGCCTCCATTGACCGTCTGCTTAAATGGTATCATATGCACTTATAAGTACTTATTGGGATCTTTTGGTTTACGACATAGTATCAGAGTCTTCTTTCTACTTAAATGGTATCGTGCACACTTCTGGTATGAGTCCTTATTGGTATCATTTGGTTTATGAGATAGTATCAAAGCCTTCTGTGATGGAGAGATCGATCTTTTGTTTGAATCCCGATGACCCACATCGATTCTGTCAAGCACATAATATTCATACCTGTGCAAACTTCAAGCTCATATGAATCGACTTTTGCTTGCCATTGCGTATTAGTAAATTATATATGTTCCATAATTAAAACGGGAAGTCACCTTTTTGAGTGATGATACTTGGCAGGGAAGGCGGATGATGAAGCGCCTTACCTAGACGTAGGAATCAATGGAGTTCCAGGAAGCACAACTTCCTCTTCTTATTCTTCTTCTTCGAGCATCAGCAGCAACAGTAGTAGTAATGGCAACGATCCAGCCCAAATCATCGCTAAAGCTATGCTCTGTTTCAATAACAGAGGAGTAAGTGTCAGAAACCAGAAAATAACGACAAACAGAACCCATTTGGTTTCGCTTATTGAATCTCCTAACGTTTTTTTCCCCCCTTCTTGTTTGTTGCTGAAAGATTTACAGAAGCTGCGATGAAGACTTCAGATTGAACGAGAGCGGGAGCCTGGGAGTTCCTCCGGAACAAGTGGACGCCTACTGCGGCGGTTCTTGCTTGACGGAGACCAACATGGTGCTGAATTGCCTTGAAGGGATCATGAAGAATTTCAGATTTTACAATGCTGCTACGATCAAGGATGTTAAGGACACTGTCTCTGCAGTATGCAGTGACGGCCCTAACCGAGGTAATCTGCAATTTTGACATTTTCTGTTGATTGTATAAGTCTCGTGTGTATAATTAGCCTCGTATGTATTATAGTTGTGGTAGTACGTAGAGCCCATGTAACATTAAAAGCCCATGCAGCAGCCCATGATCATTAGGTACGTATTAAGTAGAACACTTAATCACCTAGGGTTTGGCTTGAGGCTAGATATATATCTGTAGAGAGCTGCCGTCGGCCTGTAACATCTGATCATCATCTTATTATCATCAGTACAAACAGTAGTCGAGGAGTCTTCAAGCTCCTCCGTGGATTAGTCCTGGTTAACCCGGGGATACCACGTAAATCGCTGTCTAGCATTTCCGTATTGTTTTCAATATCTCAACATGGTATCAGAGCCTACACAAATCGCATCTGAGAGGCCATCTGTTCGTCTCACGTCAACAAATTTTGCATTGTGGGAGTTTCAATTCAGAGTCTTCGTCGAAGGCCGTGGTTTGCTTGGAATTCTGGACGGGACTTTACCACAGCCTGCTGCTGGAGCTGCTACGGCACAAGAAAGAAGTCAATGGAACCAAAATGATGCCCGTGTGAGGTCATGGTTGTTGGATTGCGTGGATGCATCCACCTGCCTTAGTCTGCGTATATTTCCGACTGCAAATAGGATGTGGAGACATCTGACAGCCCTTTATTCCACCGTTAATCCAGCTCGTCAATTTGAGATTCAAATGTCAATTGCTCGTCTGGAGCAAGGAGACAAGTCGGTAACTGAGTATTTTAATTTAGCCCAAGAATTATGGACAGAGCAAGACCTTATTCAAGCTGCGTTGAGGCCTCAAACAGAATGGACTGAAGATGCTATTGCGGAAAGACAAAGGACACGAATTCTAGAGTTCCTAATGCGGCTAAGGCCTGACTTTGAGGCCGTGAGATCAGCGCTGCTCAATAAAGAAGAACTGAAGTTTGATGGTGTGCTGGCAACGTTGGTTAGAGAGGAAACACGCATACGAACTCAAGCCTTGATCGATCAACGTCCTGGAGAGGGAGAAACATTCATTGCCGCTGCTGCTTCCGCCACCAGAGGTAGCGGGTCTGGAACCTTTGCTCTTGCTGTAGATCGGCCTCAGTTTCAAAGGCGAATCCCGGCAACTGAGATGGAATGCCATCATTGTCGAGAAAAGGGACACTTGCAGAAGCATTGTAAACGTCGGAACTTCTGTGTTTATTGTAAACGAATGGGGCATATTGTGCTTGAACGTCGTTCTTTACGGCAGACCCAAGGGATTCCTCCACCAAAGTTCAACGACTACCTTACTTATGGAGTTGACGCATTAATGATTCCGAACTCTTACAACCAGGCCAAAGGAAATCCATTATGGGAGGCTGCAATGGATTGTGAAACAGATGCTATGCATGCGAATAACACTTGGACTGTCGTTGATCGTCCTTCTCCCGATACTCCTACTGTTGGCAGCCGTTGGGTATATACAATTAAGACGCTTCCAGATGGTACAATTGAGAGATACAGGGCACGAATCGTTGCCCTCGGCTATACACAGGAGCAGGGGGTCGACTATCATGAGACGTTTGCTCCTGTGGCAAAGATGTCCACTGTTCGAGTTTTACTGGCTGTTGCTACACAGAAGAATTGGCCCCTACTACAGCTAGATGTCAAGAATGCGTTTCTGCACGGGGATCTTGATGAGGTTATTTACATGGAACGTCCGCCCGGATATCGTGTTGGCACTCCTGGACAAGTCTGTTTACTGCATCGATCGCTGTATGGTCTGAAACAAGCGCCGAGAGCTTGGTTTGAGAAATTTCAGTCGAAGCTAATGGAGCTGGGTTTTCAACAGAGTCTAAATGATCCATCACTCTTTACACAGACTTCTTCTCGAGGTATTGTTGTTCTCCTACTATACGTAGATGATATGATTATTACTGGCTCAGATTCTGTTGGAATTAGTAAACTGAAAGATGGACTTCAGGCTGCTTTCCGTATAAAGGATCTAGGGGAGTTGTCTTACTTTCTTGGATTAGAAGTGTCTCGTGGTGCTAAAGGGATACTTCTCAGTCAAAGGAAGTATATCACCGATCTGTTGCATGATCACAACTTTGAGAACTGCAAGCCAGTATCCACACCTATGGAGCTTAATCTTAAGCTTAGTAGGGAGTCTGGGGAACGTCTTCGGGATGGTTCTCAATACCGTAGCATAGTAGGGAGCTTGATTTATTTGGCAGCTACCAGACCAGACATTTCGTATGCAGTGCAATTGGTGAGTCAGTTCATGTCCAGTCCATGCGTGGATCACTTGGCTGCAGTACATCGGATACTGCGATACTTACAAGGGACCAAAGACGTGGGGATTATGTTTTCTTCGCGTGGGATGGCGAAGCTACGGGCATTTTCTGATTCTGATTATGCAGGATGTATCGATACACGACGTTCTACTACAGGATGGTGTGTCCAGTTTGGGGATTCTTTCATTTCATGGCGGTGTAAGAAGCAGGATAAGGTCTCTAAGTCTTCAACTGAAGCGGAGTATAGAGCTATGTCCGATGTTACTTCCGAGCTTGTCTGGCTCAGGCGATTACTTACTGATTTTGGGGTCACATGTCCACTGCCGATGGAACTGATGGTTGACAATACTAGTGCCGTTCGTATCGCTACAAATCCAGTGCTACATGATCGCACCAAACATATTGAGATACATGTTCACTATGTTCGGGACATGGTTCGTGATGGTGAAGTTACTCTACACTACATACATACCGAGGATCAAGTTGCAGATTTATTCACGAAGTCTTTTGCTGCAAGCCGACATTGGTTTCTATCTAGCAAATTGATGCTATTAGACACGCATCAATTTGGGGGAGGCTGTTGATTGTATAAGTCTCGTGTGTATAATTAGCCTCGTATGTATTATAGTTGTGGTAGTACGTAGAGCCCATGTAACATTAAAAGCCCATGCAGCAGCCCATGATCATTAGGTACGTATTAAGTAGAACACTTAATCACCTAGGGTTTGGCTTGAGGCTAGATATATATCTGTAGAGAGCTGCCGTCGGCCTGTAACATCTGATCATCATCTTATTATCATCAGTACAAACAGTAGTCGAGGAGTCTTCAAGCTCCTCCGTGGATTAGTCCTGGTTAACCCGGGGATACCACGTAAATCGCTGTCTAGCATTTCCGTATTGTTTTCAATATCTCAACATTTTCTCCCCCTCCGATTCTCATTCTAGACTCTACACAATTTTGTTACGACGACCGAGGATCTCGATGTTATCAGCGTAGTCAAAAGCGCGTTTTTATTGTAGAAGCGTTTTGGTGATCTGAAAACGTAAAACCGTAAGTTTTTAAGTTTTAAAGCGTAGTTTTTTAACTACATTAGTTATAAAAACGGAGATTATGTGTAGAAGCATTTTGGTGATCTAGAAGAGTAAAACCACAAGTTTTTAAGCTTTAAAACGCGATTTTGACTACATTGGATGTTATATAAGTATTCGGCAAACTCACAAGAGATGACGATTCGTAGATTTTTATTCGAGATGGTGGATTATGAGAACTGATTGGGGATTGTTTGTGATTGACAGGCAATTTCGATGTGTCTGAGTCTGAGCATCTTGAGGCTTCTGAATCTACTGCTCTCAAGGCTGCAAGTTGGGTTGTGTATTATGCTATTGTTTACTTGGTCGCCTGCCTAGGTTTTCTCCGTTGGTGATTTGGGAGGGCAGAGTTTCGAAGTTTGGTGTGATTTTCAGGCTTTTGGGGGAGATTATAGTATAAGTCATAAGAGGGTCATCTTTTTGGTTTTGGTATTGAGTGTGGTAAGTTATTACATTATGATTTTTGTATAGATTGGATCAAATGATTGTGTATTGGTTTGGCATTACCAAGTATCAATGCAATGTTGCTTAGAGTTTGTCACAGAATTTACATGTGTATTAGTTTTCATAAAAACGTAGATCGTTTTAGTGGGGGATTATTCCTTTTTTTTTCACTTTTAATATGTGGTGTCTTCTTAGCAACACGAAAGGTAATACAAAAATGTCATCTAGATATATCAACTTAACGGCGCATGGATAATGTGTTCCACCTATATGATTTTGTTAAAGAGACGTGAGTTATAATTTTTAATTGTGACACGTATAATGTTCATTTCGTAACAAATAATATTATCCTCGTGATCTCCATTTACACATAAAGTCCTTATATAGGAGAAGAAACTATCATCCAAATCTTCTTCTTTTTTTTTTATAGAAAATGAGTGTAAAATACCGCTACCTTATATTAAAATACGACGTGGCGTAGCCCTCCAAAATAGTCATTCATGTCCCAATATGTAATGTCAGATCGGTAGTAGAATGAGTACATAAGGGTAGTGACTAGTGAGTGACCCTTGTTACCCAGGCAATATGCAAAGCAATTGTTATTTTTATAAATGTGGATTAGATGAACCACCCAAGCACGTTCTAAGCATGGTCCATGAAACCGTACCGGACATTGTACCGGGAAAGTCAGCGGTAGGGTATTTTATGGTAAAACCGTAGTTTAACCGTAGTTCAACAGTTATGCCGGTAAATACCGCCTACCGGTTTAGCCTCCGATACTGGTATTTCGTGGTTGAATCGTCGGTACGGTACGGTTTCATGGACACTGGTTCTAAGAGGGCGGCAAACTGGGGAACACGGGAAGTGTGTTGTGCATCGGGTCATTCGGGCTTTGAAATAGGTCCACCGCAACTGAAGGGTCGAAATGCGCTTCTACCTTTTGATATACGTGGCACAAGCCATCTCAATCCCCTCGATTAGGAATGGTAATGGGCAGGTCCGGGGCGGGTATCTCGATACTCATACCCGCCCCATGGCAGGTTGGGTTCAGGTCGGGTAATTTATCACGGGGTGCAGGTTGGGGCAGGTCGACCCAATGAGTATGTAATTTATGTGAAAAACATTAGAAATATTCGTTCTTTTCATTGAAAAAGCAAGAAAGAAACCATAATATGATAAAATGTAGTTAAATTATTGAAGAAATTGAGGTTTTCACTTATTTACAACTTTATTATAGCTAAAATATAATGTAATAAGAGGAAAATCTTAAATAATTTGACTAAGATTATATGTAATTTAGGCAATAACGGGTCGAGAATGGGGCGGGTCAGGGCAGGTCGGGTCGATGAGAGGTATCCATGCCCACCCGGTCCCGCCTACGGGGCGGGTTTGACCCGCCCCAAAATAGGTCAAACAAGTCGGGTAAATCGGACAGGTCGAAATTGTCATCCCTACCCTCGATGACACCTCGAAGCTCGGCTCTAGTAATGGAACAAATTCTCAGGTTCATGAAGCTGGTACTCTACAAATGACACTACGAATCTCACACAACCCATCCGACCCCATTTAGTCGAGTAGACGAAATGAAAAATCTATCGAAGTTGATTATGACTCAAACCTCTTACTTTGCGGTCTTCACTCCACATCCATTATTCGACAGGCATTGCGACCCTCAGTACACAAGGATTCTTCTGCTCATTTTGCAGGGTGTCGCGGCTAGACCCGTGAAGATGCTCTCATTCCGAGACAATTTTGTTACACATCGTTCTTGAATTGGTAGTGAATAAGTAAACTCTTTTTCTAAGTACTTTTGCATCAAAATCATGTAATTAACGAATGAGACGAACAGTTACCATGTTACCATCGATGGCGAATAGCGATTCAGTATTAATAACGTCGGTCCAAAATCGGCCAGGCTATTCCAGTAGACCGTTCTATCAATTTATGACTGGATGGACTAGCCAATAGCATTTTTCTCAAAGAGACCGCCAAATTCCAATGTTCTCTTCCAAAACAGGCCCGTGTTTGCTTCGTCGGATCTGGGTATTTGACAGCCGTTCAGATTCAGTTGACTGCTCCGCCAAAACGTGGACGGACAGGATTATCTTGTCATCAAAACAACCATAGCAAATAGCTGGGCGCCACGTATTAGTATACAAGTAAGCTCGGCCGCGTTTAATCAGAAGCCGGCTCTTCTGAAATGTGACTTTCCTCTTCTTTTCCTTCTTCCTTAGCTGCTACGTCGCGAAATTGATTCCTCCCAGCTTCCTACTTTCTTCCGCCGTGCTTCCCGATCTCCGGCTCCTACTGCCGCGAACTCACAGTAATCGCACAAAGCACACTTCCCACCTGGCTCCTGAAATCCGCCGGAGCCTCAGTGATTTTGCAGGATAAGAGATAGACGAACAGTCGCAAGGGGAAGGATGAAGATCGACCTCAATAAAATAGCTCGCAAAGTCGAGGTGGACAGCAGGATTCCTCTCCGGTACTATTACAGGATCGCCGATAACCTCCTCCGACAGGTTTCGTCTCGCGCTCTGTATTTTGCTGGAAGTTCGAGTTTCTAGGGCTCTCTAATTGATGAACTTACGCTTTCATTGTCCTCGTTTTTCCAGGCGACCGTGTACCGAGATGAACGTAATGTGGTGGATTTGTACATCATGCTTCTCAGATTCTCGAGGTAATATTTGTTGATGGAGCCGAATTGCTAATTATCGATGTAGCTGAAACTGTTCTTCGTTCGTAGTGTGATTTTGAGTTCTGAAATGGATCGTTGTTTTCTGTGAATTTAACCAGTTTGGTCTCCGAGACTATTCCGTTCCATCGAGAGTACCATAGTTGCCTTCTGAAGGAGAAGGCTAGCTATAGGAAGGTGAGCATGTGAATTGTGATTTGGATATTGTATTGTTATTTTCTCGTGGTTTGTCGATAATACAGTGGGATTTATGGCTTTTGATCCTGTTGTACAGAGGTTGCTTTCTGTGTTGGAGGAACTTGAATCCTTGAAACCTGAATTCAATCGTCGAGTTGAGGAACTGAATAGAGGTTACTCGAGTGTTCAAATACGAGAACTCGATGGCGTGGAAGAAAATTCTTATGGTTCTCAGTCATCTTCACCACAGTGGCCCTCAGTGAATAGAAGTCCATCCTCTGGAAGGAATGTTGCACAGGTATACGGCGCTTACTTGAGTTCTTTGTGCTTTTTTCTTAGTTACTCGTACTCATTTTTCAGTATATGTTATTAACGTCGTTATTTTAGCCTACCAGCATGGTTCCTCAATCTTCATGGAAGAATAATGATGCTCAAGCCCTTTACTCAAGTCCCTCGCCACTTGAAAATCAATTGCATAATTTGTGAGTATTTTTACCCTTTCCTGCTTTCATTGTTTTATGATATTGTACCAGTTAGCAATCATGTCTCTTTTCGAAATCTCAATTTGCCGAGGTCTGAAACTGTGCTTAAAATCCTAGTTTGCTTTTCGGTCCAGCTATTTTACACTCATCTTTTCTTAGTATAAGTTTTTGAAGGCTTGAAAATTGCTTTCTAAATCATTTTAGATGAACCTCTGTTACAATATTCATGATGTTTGTTCATCCATAAGGGCATGTTAACTTATATCCTGGTTACAAAATTAGTATTTATATGTTCATTCATATGATTGTTCTTTTTTATGTCATCAATTAAGATAATAATTATTGTAGATGAAGTTCATTTCTGGGGCTGTATGCTGAACTCCTGCGCATGATAATAGCCATTATTTTTATATGTAGATCTATTGGTCGGCCTGTTCCCAATCAGGAAACTTTGTCTAGGCACTCACTCTTGGGACCAAACGGCCTTCGTGCTGAATGGCGCCCACCTACTGCGGCAATAAAGGTAACCTTATTGCCGGATTGGTTGTTCTTCCCAACCTTTGTATATTTATGACCTCCACAAACTAATTAGTTTTGTTGTATTGCACAGGTTCAGTATCCTAGCCACGCTGACTTAGCCTCTTCAGAGGATACAAGGTAATGATTTCAACTAGATAGCTGTTGTATCTTTCAGTCACTGGGCCTACTTTTCCTTGCTCCGTATTGTCATCACTCATCAGTATGTATAATTTGTCCTAATGTCTGCTCTATGTCTTGGTTTCACAGCTTAAACCAGGCTGGAGAATATGGCAGTGTGCCAGTTAAGAAGAATGATTCTGGTGCTGTTATGGATTCCGTTCTTTCCTTGGATGATGGTAGATGGATACACCCTGCTGAGGAACCCGGAAACACATTAGTTCACGAGGCAAAGGAAGATCCTTTTCAGTTTGTTGGTATTAGGCAACCGTCCCCTCCTCCGGTTCTTGCTCGAGTGCAACATGAATATGCTCAAATTGCACCATCTAAAGTTGCCGACCCACGACCCGGTCCAGCACCTTCTCAGGATGGCATGTCTGGCCCTAATTCGTACCAAGATGTGCATGTTGTATGTCCAATATGCTGTTATCTCCCTTTGTTTTCATTACTCTTCGCTTATATGTATAATGAGAACTATATGCTTTTCCTAGAAAACCACAATTTCTTATGATTCCTTTGACTATTATTCTGCAGCCTATGAATATGATGCAAGATTTCTTAAGATTGGCCCGGGCAAATACAGAGAAGAATCTAGAGACATGTGGTGTTCTGGCAGGAGCGCTGGTAAGGGAAAAGCAATGCATGAGTCACCCTGGATATTTGTTTCAGCAGCTCTTTATATACTTGCTTCCTGTGCTGTAGAAAAACAGGGTGTTCCACATCAGCATGCTTATCATCCCAAAGCAAGAGTCAACTTCAGATTCGGTATAGTATCTCCTCTCTCAAATCTCTATCAGTTTACCATTCTGTGCTATATCTTCTTCACAATATCACCATCTTTTGAGTTTGTTTTGATGCAATAACAGCTATAACTTGTAGATCTGCTTCTGCTAATTCCTTGTTTCTGTGTTTACCTTGCCAGTGTCAGACATTAAATGAAGAAGAAATATTTGACGTTCAAGACAAACTCTCGTTGTTTCCCCTTGGATGGATCCATGTATGCGGACTTTACCATCTCTGCAATTCAATCATTTCCTTTTCCGCTTATTTATTACTTCTCTATATTTACTTCGTGGATTAGCCTGAGAATTATGCTCATTGTTTTCCATGTTGGTGCTTCGTTGATTTCAGACACATCCAACGCAAACCTGTTTTATGTCATCCGTCGATCTGCACACACATTACTCTTACCAGGTATGTCCTTTAACCAACACCCACTTATTCTTGTTTGTTTCTCGTGTAGACACATGGATTATCTCCCTATGAATGCATCTGCTAAATTTCCAGTCACCTGTTTCTTTTTCCAGATAATGTTACCCGAAGCAATCGCCATAGTCATGGCTCCAACCGACGAATCGAGGTAGAAACATTGTTTTCTTATTTTCCACAACACATCCCCGAAGATCTCTTTATTTAGTCCTATTCCTAATTTGTTTCAATCAGAGTAGTCAAAATTCCGATTTAAATCCTAAAATCCTACGCTTTTACGATTTTACTTACCTATTACGATTATGATTTCATTATAAAATCTATGGATCTTAAAATCTTACGATTTTACGATTCAAATCTGAGTCAAGTTTACTTATTTCCCCGAGAATTTGCAAAATTACGCCTCTTTTTCTTCTCTCCACCAACATCTAGTTCTCACACTAACCACCATCGACTATAATCAATTCACATCAATGTATTAATCATCCTCAATTCACCACCTCTTAACATTAACCTTAATAAATTGGAACCTTAACCTTGAAAAATTATCATTGTAAGTGTTTTGTGCTTTTGTGTTATTCATGATTATCCTTACTAATATTATTCTGTCTTCATTTTTATATGGACCTTAAAATCCTACGATTTTACGATTCCGATTTTACCCCCATTTTTTATTTTATGTAAAATCCCGATTTTGACTGCTTTGGTTTCAACGCTCTTGTTGCACAGCCCACACGGAATATTTCATCTATCAGACCCAGGAGGAGTATCTGTGATCCGCAACTGCCAGCAAAGGGGTTTCCACCCCCATGAGGAGCCCTTGGATGGAAACCCCATCTACGAGCATTGCTCCCACGTCTACCTCAACTCTAAGATGAAGTTCGAGATCTTGGATCTTCGATAATGCAAACTACACTTGCTCTCGATGCTGTTGGTCATGGTACATATAACATTTTATCTCAATCAGCTCTGTAAATACAATTGCTTTTTTTTTTTTATCCTTTCTCGGAGACATTCACTTCCATAGCTCCGTGTATATAGGCTAGTGTACGCTCCGCCGAGACGTACTGAACACAAGCCCCACATTCGAATGCGTGGGGCGGTTTTCATGATCATGGGTTGCGGGGTAGGCAACCAGTCGGTTCTCGCTGAACCGAGTTGATCCTTGAGTTGAATCGAGCCGGATTGGATATAATTAAACTGCGTTTCGTTTGTTTGTTTGTTTCGATCAGACAGTATGCCCCTTTCCCGGTCTCCTCTCCGGCGAGGACCACGTAGTGAAGATATGACGAAGGTGATCAAAAGGTTAGGAGGAGGAGGTGGCGGCCCATTGCGCAAGTTGCCAATGAATGCCATGCAATGGGCATATAGGGTACTACAACGACGGTGAGCCTTTAATTGCTGCTGTGTAGTGTGAATACTACTACCCTTTCTTTGGAGAACCGACCTACAGAGAAGAGACCTTTACTTTACAGGCCCAGCCGTCTTAATTCCTGGGGCACATTAAATCTCTAGCTTGATTCGTACCTCGGTGGCGGAATAAAAACCTTTTATGTGGATCCGATCACCAGCTAGTTAGAGAGTGAGAGTGTCGTCATATCTGTTTGACTTGACTTTTCGACGAAAATGACAAATTTGAAATTTGTCGATTTCTCGACGGGGGGGGGGGGGGGGGGGGGGGAAGCGCGACGTTGGCGGGTAATGTGCGGAGGGGGAGAAGAGGTGCCGAATTTGCACAGTTCCCTGACGGCAGCACTCTTTGCTGTTTTGCTTCACACCCCAAATCCTCCTCTCCGGTGCCAAAAGCAAAGTTGTCCTTTGTCTCGTAATGGCAAACATTTCACCGTCATGCCGACGAGATTATTAGCAGTTTTTTTTTTTTTTTTTACTTGAAGGGGTCATATCACAATGTATCCATACACGGCAACTTCTTGATTGAAAAAAGGGGTGCCCTCAGGCATTGATTTTATATTTTCACGAACCATGATACAAGGTTTAGCGAGTGATTCACGTGGCTAGTGGTGGGCTAGCTAAGCTGAAGGAGTGAGTGCCGGTCGGGAAACCTTGTACAGACCCGCGATACCATATATTTTGAATCAACTATTAATATTGAAGGTTACGAGGATTCAAAAACGTGACATCACTATCAAACCGGTTATGATACTCGGTCATAGATAGGAGAATTTCATGTATAGATCCGAACTACCTCCCTATTGAAGTGAGGAAATGTGCGAACAAAGACATGGTTTTGTGATGATGCCAATGGTTTTCAACCTGAAATTCTCAAATCTAAATCCATTAGGTATCACTCAACAAGGTAAATGCCCACTAATTTGAGCCAAAATAAGTAGAACGACCAAAGTAAAAGTGAGAAAACCCCATGGAAAGGAAAAGAAGAAAACGGAGAGTCTCCATCACATTGAAGCCAACCGCCAATGCCCATGCTCGATGGTATCATATGGAGCGAGCGGGCAACTTGTTTGTTCGCATTTCCTTTCGGCTGAAAAGGGCGTTACAGGGAAGAGGCAAAAGGAATGAAATTAAGAGGGAAATGGGCGTTGGAGATTGAGGAAGTTATATGGCGGCATGGGGAGCTCTACCGGCTAGCTAGAACGATAAGCATTTAACGTATGCAGCTCTATGCATGTATTACCTTCGTTGTTCATTGCGGGGCTTCTTGGCAACCATGCACTTTTTTTCCCCTCACCCTTTGTATATGTGGGTTATGTAAGGGATGAGAGTAAATCGGGGTGGGTATCTCGGCACCTATGTATGTCGCATTGCAGGTGGTGTCCGGTTAAACTATTTTACGTTTGGGCATGGGTTGAAGCGGTGGACTAGTCATAAGGGCATGTATTTTAAAGGAAAAACACTTGAAATTTTAATTTTTTCATTAAAAATGAAGAAATAAACCTTAGCGTGATGAATGAAGTTAAATTATTCTAGAAATGAAAGTTATCAAATAATTACAACTTTACTATAGTTAAAATTTGATATAATAAAAGTAAAATAATATATAATTTAGACATAACGGGTCGAACTTGAGCATGTCAAGGTGGGTCAGATTGTTGAGGGTACGATTAATGTTTGAGGGCAGTTTAATAATTTGTTTGTTAGTTCGATCGATTAGGGTTTGCGAGTCCGAGTGTATATAATGGTATATAAAAGAAAAAACCTATAATGAGTTCACCGGAGCTCTGATACCAATTTGTTGCAGGCACGGATTTTCGGCACAAGGATTGACATAATACGATAGAATATAGAAAGAGATGTAGATTTGTTGAGAGAAGAATTTGACAAAACCATGTGATTTATAATTAGGGGTTAGGGTTTCTTGACGAGATTAGAGAAAATATGGACACTTCTAACGATAATATTGATATGTTTTCCCTTTGATATCCATAATGATAAATAAAAAAAACAAACTACATTATACATACTCATACTCGAAACCCTAATCGACCTAACACAACAAAACACTAAACTATCCTTAAACTACTAATCGTACCATCAACACGTGCAAATCAAAGTGAAATACTCATCCCCGTCCGTCCTACTCCACCTACGAACAAATCAAACAAGTATAAGACAAAGATCGAAATTGCAATCCCTACCAAAGTTTGAGGGCTTTGTTTTTTCATTATGGGAACCAACGAAAGGGAGAGAATAGAAAGATCGATTGAGATATCTTTTCCTTCTCCCACCAAAAGAACCCCCAACTGTCTTGCTTTGAATGTGTCCAACGAACCCCCCGAAAAAGAAACTAGTACCTGGAGTGTTCCGGAAATAGGAGAAGGAAAGGAGACAGTACGTACACTCCACACTTGTGTTTTTCCCTTCTCCACCTCTACCGTCTCCCGTCCATGAGTGTAATTGGGTCATCATGACTGTGGGCTAGTGCAACGGCTCGGTTCGGTTAACATTTCGGGTCGATCTAATAAAAAGTATCGTTAAGCTCGAAAATTATTCGGGTTAATTAGACAACGCTAAATAAGATTTATTGTTTTGTAGTTCAAATAATCTCGATCACTAAGATGAACTTGTTAATTGTTATATAGACGTGATATTAGTTGATGTGGTCATTAAACTGTGTGAGCTTTAAACCCTGTGGACAACTTTCTTTTGAGAGAGAGTTATGCAAGATGACAATTAGAGTCATTAGAATACAAATTGTTATTCAGGAGATGAAGAAAACATGTGGAATTTGAGGGTACCAATTAGAGTTCTTTTGGGAAAGGTATTACAATAAGTTACTGGAACGAATTAACGCGCAAGCAGTAACCGAAAAACATAAATCTCAAGTACAGAGATAAATGAAAGTTAACATACGATTTTGATCCAATATAAAGTAAATCATTACCGACTTTCCATCAATAGAATATTATAATCCATCATTCATATGGTTACCCGTTATACTACTCCGAATTAGAAAGAACATAAAAGCAAAAAAATCTCCCTAGATCCCCTCCAGCTTAGAGATTTACATAACCAACAAAAACTTACATATATGTAAACCCAAAAAACAAACCCCAGGATGATGAAACTGAAACCATAAATGTTCTCTTTGTTGTGCAAAATTGCTCTCCAATTCTGGGTTGCCACAAGAATCTACTAAACTTGGTAAGTAGCCAACTTGATTTAGCCACATTTGCTATACAGTAATACACCAATTTACATTTAGTCACATTTCAGCTTTAGTATGAGTTAACTCCTAAAAATTTCATCAGCAGACGTGGCACTCCCTACTCCCACTACGTGTCGAAATCGCCACCATCCCTCCCTCTCTTTCTCTCCTCTCACACCCCCAGCTCGTATATAGTACTCTTCTACTGTCACTTCTCTGCTTACTTTTTACTACTCTGCTTTTCCTCCTCTCTGCCTTTTTTTTCCGTTTCTCGTCTTCCTCATAGGCTGCTGCTGCTGCTGCTGTGATGGGGAGAGCGCCCTGCTGCGAGAAAGTTGGGCTGAAGAAAGGGAGATGGACGGCCGAAGAAGACCAGATCTTGACCTCCTACATTCAGCAGAATGGCGAGGGCAAATGGCGCTCCCTCCCCAAAAACGCCGGTAAACCCACAAAACCCTTTTTTTTTTTTTTTTGCTCTGTTTTCTCTCGACTCTGTTTCCTTTGATCGCAATGTTGTATGAACTTGTACCATCTTCGTTGTTCTCTGTGGGAAGGGCTGTTGAGGTGTGGGAAGAGTTGCAGGCTGAGGTGGATCAATTACCTGAGGGCAGACCTGAAGAGAGGCAACATCAGCAAGGAGGAAGAAGAAACCATCGTTAAGCTCCACAAGTCTCTTGGCAATAGGTATTATTCAATATTTCAATTCCCTTTTGTCATTACTTGCCCTTCTTACTGGTTTGACGATGTTGGTCCCAAAAGGTTTAATATCTATGGAGCCCAAAACTAGAAGTTAAGTGTCAGACCGATCTCAATCGGTGTCCATAATCTGGGCTATTGATTACAATCTTTTTCATCATTTCTGATTAATCATCACTCTCATCTGGTTTATGGTTACTTACGACGACGTTTCGTCGGTCATAATTTTTTCTCTTCATTAGAATTCGAGTCGCTATCCGACTGATACGTTCGTTTTTTTTTGTATGATTTCATTAATAGCAAGATCATATCGGTAATTCAACTTTGTTGGATTTCACACGTGCTGACGGGGATATCCTCGTTAGCAGTTTAGAATCCTCTGTGTGTTAGAAAATATTGTAAGATCCTGTGTTGCTGTCAACTCGTATTGACAGCTGCCTTACCTTTTTTTTTTTGCCATCATTTTGAATCATCACTCTCTGTTTCATGCGTCACGGGTCATAATTTTCTCGTCATTAGAATTCTGAGTCACCATCTTGATTGATACGTTCATGTTTTGCTTTGATTTCATTAATATCGGAATTCTGATCGGCTATCGGTGATTAACTTGTTGGATTTTGCACGTGATAACAGGGATAGACTCATTAGTATCAGACGTTTGTATAGGACATCACTTGCCAAAATTTATTTTGTAAGATCCCGTGTTGCTGTCAACCCATGTCGACAGACGACAGCTACCGCGCTATCAATATATCAGCCAAATTAGAACACACCGAACTTCACGTCATTTCTCCTTTCCCTTCGAAAGTTGTACGCATTTTAATCTAGGCTTTTATTTTGATTTGTCACCAACACTACGGAAAGTACACAAACCCAAGTTTTGTTTGTTTACTCAATTCAACATCTTAGCAACCCTCAGAAGTCCATTTTTGTGTTCATTCGTACAAATGGAATTGCATAGCTGAAATTAAGCCATACCATCTTAAGGGACAATCAATGCACGAGAGTAGCCCAAACTAGCAACCCTAGAAATTTATGAAAGCACGGCCTAAACCGCCGGCTTGCCCCTTTGCCTATCCCTTTTCTTCCCCCACACCTCACTAAGTGAACACACAAACTTTGGTGGTTATTCTATTTATTTTGGGCTGTCCCCTTCGTGTCACGTTATTACCTGTGAAAAAACCCATGAGACTGAACTTTATTTCTACTGTACTCTGTTTTTCTTTTCAGTTTAGGGATCGTTACGTGCGTACAACTTACGCCCTATGTATTCAAGTCTATGTACTAACGGTTGTTTGCGTAATACATATATTTGACGCGCGGTTGTTTAGGGAGGTCGGATTTGCAATCCATCCTTGTTTAATAATGGATGGAGGGAGAGGGGGGGGAATTTTGTTGTTAAATGTGTTGGATTAGACTGAAGGCTTAATTAAATGGATCCTACATTTTTTGTAGAACCTAGGCAATTTATTATTTTTATGGGCACACTGGAAGATATGATATTTTTAGTTGTACCATGCCAACAAACAAACAAAAATATCTTCATAATTTATGGGAATTAAATAATTCATTATGCTTGAGTTCTAATTAAATATCAAGTCCAATTCTTTGGTTGCTGGCTCTCTTAACTCGTGTTATTGATTTAGACTTGAAAAATTAATGGTATATCGTTCTTAAATAATAAGTTAATTTTAAAACTTGTACAAATTCATCGTATTTTGTGTACATAAATGAACGATAATATTATATAAAAATGGTTACTGAAAATTCAAATTACTACATTTCGATATTCAACGACGCAGTGAGTTTACCAAACTCGAAAGAGATGAAAACGAACCTTTGTAATATTATTCTTCACGGTGAATAGAAAATAAAAAATGTGTAACATGAGTGAGCAAATCTCCTATGTAAAAGAAGAAGGAAAAAAACAACTAGCTTTTTTGACTGAGGTGACATTGTACATGACAAAACTAGCTGTGACATTTGATTAATTATATGATTTGTTTTAGGATTTTAGGTTAATATATTAATTAATTGATTAATTGTTGCTGTTCTAGAACGATTAATTAATAATGTGTCCTTGTTAATTAATTAATAATGTGTCCTTATTTTCCATATGGTTATTTGTCGGTTGTCAATTCCTTTCCTTCAATTAATAGACGAGTCAAGTTCCGTCGGTGTAATTAGGAGCCACGTCTTTGGCAAAAGAAAAAAAAAGTTTAGGAGCCACGTCATCCCTAATCAATACGTCACATCCTAGGTGGCCTATGGCCTGGTAACATTTGCAGCCTTTTGAGATTTTTGAAAAAAAAATGAACAAGCCCACAATTCATTTTTACTCGTCCGGTCCAGTCCAATTCCAGCTAGTTTCTATAACTTCGGCCCGTTATGCGTAATTTTCCATACTAATTGTGGGGGCCCAATTAATTTTCCAGGTGGTCAGTGATAGCGGCCCAATTACCGGGAAGAACGGACAACGAGATCAAAAACTACTGGAACTCTCATTTGAGCCGCAAGATCTTCACCTTCCGCCGCTCTTCCTCCTTCGATTCCTCCGCCTCCTCCACCGCCTCCTCCACCTGCTCTTCTACCGCCGACGATGGGCAGCCGAACGTCAGCGGCAGCGCTATCTCCGTCTCCGCCGCTGCGCGCAGCAGCAGAAAGCGCAAAAAGGCATTATCATCGTCGGGAAAATTAGAGAGCCCTGTCCCCAAGAAAGACGAGAAAACTGCAGATCCCCTGAGCGGGATCACTACCTCCGCCGGGGAGCAGGGGAGCGAAGGTGGTGGCGGCTTGGATTTGGGTTTGGACGGTGGAGAATTGATGATGGAATTGGATGAAAACGTGGGTATTGTTGCGGGAGAAGGAGATGGGGATGGGATTTTGGGACCGTATGAATGGCTGGATAGTGAAATGAATCGGCTTAAATGCAAGCTCCATCATCGCACTGAAGATGGAGAAGGAAATGGAGAACAGGGGAAAGAGGCTGCACCAGCAGCGGATCAGGCAAGTTGGGGCTTGGAGAACGGTGGAGTTGGTGCAATGATGGCGGTGGAGAGTGTGAGTAACAGAGGCATTGATAGCAGTAGCAGCAGCACGACTAGTAACAGTAATAACTGTATCTGCGAACATCATGGTCAAGGGGAGGAGAAGGAAGGGGAAGAATGGCTGGACTGGGACCAGATTACTGGAGGGGACGAGCTTCAGAACATTCATTGGGATGAAGAAGACAGCAGCATTTTGTCTTGGCTCTTGGATGGTAATGAACAGCTGCATTAGAAAGAGATGAAGGAAGGAGTGGATGGGGAAACGAATTGGATTGGCTTATCTGGTTTGTTAACTCGATCATCTTTATGAGTTTTATATCTATGTTTGATTACCCTAGTTCTTATGTTTAATTATGTGTACAGTGAGAGACCATAGAGGTCTGATTAGTTGGTGTTTGAATGAATCTCTCTGAGGAGGAAAAAAAAAGGGTACTTTTTTCCACGTTTCAAAGAGGAAGGGAATCAAATTGCTGCAGTTTTTGGTCTCTTCTTATTCGTAATTTGATTGCTGTTTTTGACAACCCTTTGAAGCTTTTCTATGCTATAGCCACAGAGCATGATTCTTTAGAGCCCTGTTAGGTTTGTTGAATTGATCTCTCTGCAAAAGGAATGAAATGGCTGCAGATTTTGCCTCCTTCTTTCCTAATCTTCAATGGTTTGATTACTATTTTGATTGACAACCCTTGATGAAGGCCTGATTTTTAAGAGCTTTTAGGGTGTTGAAAAGGATACTTTATGGCTGAAAATTTGCCAACCCTTTATCCGTAGGTAAATGTCAATGCAATCAAGTTTCGATTTTGAAGAGTGTCTGTTGAGTGTGTAATGAATGCCTCTGAAAAGGGTGCTTTCCAGGTCTGAAGAGAATCAAAATGGCCTGCAATTCTGACAAAAATACTTTACCTACATTTTTCTTTTATAGAATAAAAGAACCCTTTACCTATTTATAGGAAGCCGAAAAGCAATTAAGACATGGTTTAAGAATCAATGGTTCCTTACAAGCGCAGAAAAACCAGCAGATACCTGAATGGAAAAAGAAGAAAACCCATCTCACTTTCACGCGTCATTGACAGAGTAACCCTCATCTTCAATCCTCCACCGGATCAATCAAGGGTGCTTCTGGATATCGGCAACCAGTTCATCAACCAATGAATCGAGTATTAACCCTTCAATCCCTTCTCCAACAACACCAAATGCATCTTCTTCATAGTCAAGCCAATTCCCATATTGGCTTCCCATGTCCTTGTTCACAAGCTCATCCACCATGCAGTCTCCCATCTTTCTCCACGACACAATCTCTTTCTGCACTTCCTCGGCCAACCAGTCTTTTCTTCTCATCACTGTAACTCCCTTTTCCCACGCTTTGTACCCTCCATTGATGTATCTCCTGCATCTCCAATCCAGGCATTCACTCACACAGTCAAACAGCGCCTTCTTTTCAAGCTTCGACTGATCACTGTGGTCTTTCTCTATCTGGATGAAGAGGTGAGGGTTCACGACCTCACGGGACCTACCAATTGCAAAGTCATGGAACATCAAGTCCAGATAGACAAGCATCTTCTTCACGTATTCACCCTCCCAGTTACTTTGTTTATTGAAGTCTGATAATGTGTTAGAGCTTGTAGATGAAGCTGAATCAAGTAGCTCTGCATCAGCATATGGTTGGTGACGTTTCTTTGGGAAAGTAAAGCTAAGGACTTCCTGTGCTTGAATAGAGGATGAGCACTGCTTGCCTGTTTAGATGAAAAGTCATACAGAGATGAAAACAGATGAGAACTTTTATGAAAGTCACAGAGAAAAACTTGTCTAGAAGTTGCACAAATTTGCACTAACAAGTTGCAGCTGTGAAAACATAACCACGGAAATTTACCTTCTGTACTGCTACTGTCCATGCTCTCCAATGTGCAGCTGCTTTCAGTTGAGAAAGAATGATCAAGAACCGAGATCGGGCTTGGCCGCCTGCAATCTAGCAGCTTTTCAGCATCGTAATATTTGCTGCTACTGCTGCTGCATTCCTCCATTGCATCGACTCCCCCCTGCTAAATTTGCAAGTCACACATAACTCCATAAAAATCAGGATATGAACACTCCTAATGGAAAAGAGAGAGAGAAAATATAGGTACCTGAAATATAGGTTTGAATCTATATGCCACAGGATCAGGTGAAAACGAATTAGCCCCATAGCCCCCAACCACTTTCTCTCGACATAGTAGTTGCTGCTGCTTCTGCTGTTCCTTAACATCAGCTGATCCAACTTTGCTAATGGTATTGCGTCTAGAGGACTCGACAGCATCAGTTAGTTCCCTCAACTTCTGCTCCAATAGCGAAGTCAGAGCATCTCCTCCTGAAGACAAATTTATGGCTTCTGCATCGACCAACAATCTCTTGCTACGATTCGGCGTTTCGGGCATTGATGAAGATCTTGCTAGAGGAGTTGTGAATGTGAATGACACTACATCACTTCCTTTCCTCTTGCTCTCTTCTGCCGCCCAAGTAAAGTTCTCAGCTTCCTCCGTTGGGCTTCTGTCAATCGACATGTTATCTATTAACCGTTTCTTCCTTGGGGGAGTGTTCTTTATAGTGTAGTTTGATGAACGACCCTCATCTGTGCCTGATTTCCTGGACCCATACCTATAACCGGCAGAAGATTTTCCTGAAGCTTTGGGTCGCTCGTAAGGATTCACTGAGTTTACTTTTCGACCCTGGACACTTGAAATGGAGGGCTTTGGGGATGATTTATCTTTCTCCATTGAGCAATTCTGTTTCTGGTTATTCTGTCTAAGCACTGGTGACGAAGAAGCAGACCTCTGAGATGAATTCTTCTGGAAATTTGGTTGCTGACTCCTGAATGGCTGCTGGCTTGTTGCCACATCACCACTTTGTCGCTCTTTCTGCTGCTGTTGTTGTTCTACACCTCGGTTACCTCTCGAGTTCAAGCCTTCTCTTCTCTGTTGTACATTAACCTTTGCTTGGACAGCAAGCGATACAGATTTTCCCCTGCTCTTTTGACCAGAAGACAAAGAAGATCCTTCCTCCAGCTCCTGAGAAACCCTAAAAGTAGTTGCTGCATCAACGGTTGATCCATTCCAGCTCTTGTTCATAGGTTGGCCTTTCAAGCACTTAGCAGCGTTCGACTCGCTAAGCTTCCGAACAGCAGTTTTCTCCTTCACATGATCACGGGTTTCAAGTCTCGACTTCAAATTGCGAACTTTCAAGGGTGCCGATGATGAAGAAGAGAGCTTTGGCTTGGGAGGAGGAGCTCGTGGACTAGACTCGATGATCTTAGCAGCGGCTTCCATAATGTGAGCAGCAGTATGGCTCGGTACAAAATGGGCACTCTTAATAGGTGAGAGGAGCTTATGATGAGTAATAGGGATCGATTTAGCAGACTTGGGAGGCAAGACTTCGGTTTGGAACTTCTCCATAGGTCTGCTTACCGCCTTTTGAGGCCTATGTGGCAGATCGCCCGAGTACATGCTGTGGTAGTCATGATGGTAGTAAGCGAATTGCTTCCTGCTACTGTGAGAAGAAGATTCACGTAGTGACTGGGTATCGGAAAATGCGGTGGTGCACTTGGGCTCGAGGAAACTGGATGTCGTTGGCATAGAATCGAGTCCCATAAGCCTTGCTATTGCTCCAGCTGGCCTAGCTCCTCCATATCCGTCTTCATCAGTGACTGAAGAAGCACAACTGTAGTCACCACCACTTCTTATGCTACATGGTCTTCCTCCATGTTCGTCGTCATCCATCTGGTGTAAAATCACCACAAGAGGGATCATATCATATACATAAACAATGGTGATCATACAAGTGATGCAATTTGATCAGCAGAACCCAAGATTCCCAAATGAAATAGCTTACCAGACGAAGCCGTGTTGTTGGCAAGTTTCCATCGCTTCGCTTTCCTTGCTTTGATCGTTCTATGAAGAGACAATGAAATGGAACAAGATTAAGCAAAACCTTGATAATGTAGTCTGGAAAGCAAATGTAAACCAGTAATTAATTTGTACCTGGTAAGTCTGATTTGCTTGAGAACAATTTCTTCCTTGATTTTGCAGACCAGTCAAACAGCTGAAAGAAACCACCCGTATAGCCTCCTCCATTCTTTCCACCTTCCCTCTCCATCCTCATCTCCTTGGACCAAGTATCAACAAGCCCTTGTCAAGCAAACAGATGGTTGACCTCATTCATCAGCAGAATCCTATAACAGCAAATGGTTTTATCATTAAAATTAAAACCCTAGCTGATGGGTACCTACTAATCAATGAGAGAGTCAAACATTAAAATCAATTCTCTACAAACTACAGCTCCGTATGTAATCTGGAAAGAGCTCAACTTTCTAGACAGTAGACACCTAAGATGGGAAATGAGCTCAATTGCTAGCATAGCTAACCTGTGCATTCCATCAAACATTTGGCGAGCAAAAAAAAAAAAAAAAAGGAGACAGCCGTTATCAAATCAGCATTATTAGCATCATCAGCTGGAAAAACAGTCACTTTCTTACGAGCAGAACAGAACCCAGAAATCCACACAAACCGAAACTACATTTCCCCCATGAACCAAGATCACCGAATCACGACAAGAAACCGAAAGAAAAGACCCACATTGCCGCAATTCAACGGAAACATTGGAGAAAGAAGAAAAGGGAAATCCCAGAAGGTAAAAATCCTTTTCTCAGCAGGGACAAAAGACTCACAATAGCAATGCGAGGAATCAGCCTGGAAATCGAGCCAAGAAAGAAAGTCGCACTGCTCTGCCTCTTCTTGAAGAACAACTCTGTTTCCTTTCGTCAAATGTCAGAGTTGAATCTATATGAAGGAGAAGGGGAGAGAAAAGCTCTGGTCTTTCTCCCTCTGGCTCTTGAACAGGTGCAATTAAAGATTACGGTGCACAGAGATTTTATCAGAGATCGGAGAGAGCGACAGGGATTGTAAGAAGAAGTGAGAAGTGAGAAGAAGAAAGGTCTTGTCGTTCTTTCATTGCCAACTGCTGCAATAGTTCAATTCAACTGCATTTAATTTAGACCCAGAGAGAAAAGGAAAAACGCCATGAATACTTATACTACTAGTCTCTTCTTTGTTTCTTGTTTTTCTTCTCAGTTCAAATAAAGGACCACATAACGTCTCTTTTGGCAGAGGGGAACAAATTTCAAATTCCCGACCGAAGTTTGTTTTTGCCATTTTCTATTGAGTGTTTCCCGTATGATAGCGTCACAGCACGTTGCACGGAGAAGAGGGCGTAGATGGATGACACGTGGCTGGAGTGGTGGTCGGAGACTGAGTGTCGACCGTCGATTGCGTGGAAGAAGGAAATTTTTTTCTGACAGCTACTATGGATTGAGATGAGTGAACGAACGTCAGCGGGGTAAAAACTAAAAAGGCCTGCTCAGTGCTCACGGAGGAGGAGCGGTATATCTTCAGAAAAGTATTGTATTAGGAACGACTGGGCCCGGCCCGAATCTAAGGAATGGAGCCAGGCCCGGTAACGAGAAGACAAATTGCAAATCGAAGCTCCAGGGCTGTGTCAAATCACCCTTTTAGTCAATTATTAATTTAGTCGTGTGGTTGATCAATTCAGGTAGGGTTTACTGGGGTGAGCAGTTGGTGGTTTTATACGGATTTGGGTTGGTTTGGAACCACCTATTACGTGGTGGGTGAAGGAGAAAATGACATATATCTAGGGATGGGCATTTGGTCGGTTCGGTTCAAACCGAATCGAAATTATGCATACCGGGTCCCCGAATTCTATCAAACCTCAAACCGAATTCGAACCGAATTATAATTCGGTCGGTTCAAACCGAATTATAATTCGGTTCGGTTTTTCATACAAAACCGAAATAGTGAAGTTAGCTTGTACCTTCTCTTTTTTAAATTATTTTTCACCCCTAATGTAAACAATAAATATGCATCATCAATGATAAAATCAAACATTTCAACACATAAGTCATAAAACACTAACATGATTCAAATATTTAAGTCTCATAATAAGTAGAAACATAAAAATCCACCATTTAGAGCTTGCAATTATAATAATTCGGTTTTTCGGTTCGGAATTCGGAAATTCGATTCGGTCAAAAGGACCCTGGTTTCTGAAATATGCCCTTTTCTCTTCCGAATTCCGAACCGAATAACATTAATTCGGTTTCGGTTCGGTTTATATTCGGTTTGGTTATGTTCGGTTCGGTTTTACCGAACCGTATACCCACCCCTACATACACCCACCCAAGCATTACATGTGGGTGGGTTGGGTTGGGTGATTGCGGTTGATTTGTGGTTGGGTGAATTCGGTGGGTTTACAACATACATTCCATATTATCTCACAATTTCAATAGTTTTAAACTTAAAATAAAAAGAAATTGGCAAAATACACTTCTATATCCATAACTTTCACGGTTGTGACAAATATATCCATAACTATCGAAATACACGAAATACCCAGAAAAGCGTACTATCGTGTGACAAATCTATCCATTTCGTTAAAAACTTTAACACCGTTTGTTACGGCGTCAGTAAATGTGACATAACGCTGACTAGGACCATACCCATCTCACACCTAAGCTCCACGTCAGCATAATTTGAGCCATGTCAGCAAAAAATAAAAAATAAAAATAAAAATAAAAAATAAAATTAATTCTCTTTGCCCCAATGATTTCTTCTCTCTCCCGTAGTTCCAGCCTCCATAGCTCGCCGAATACTCCTCCTAAACCTAATAACCAGATCCCCCATTACTCCTCTTAAACCTAATAGCTTATGAGATTTCCCGTCGCAAACCAAATCCTTCCCCCTGCTGCCCGTACCCAACCTCGAAGAGTAGCATTCAACATCAAACAAAAGGAGGAAAGGGGGAAATCGGGTTCTGGGGATTTGAGAAGAAGTTGGCTCTTCCCCTGCCAACTGCTACCACTGAGAAGAAGCTTATTAGGCAAAAGAGATCTGGATCCGCCTCCGATCTTCCTCCTCAGTGGAAGATCTGGATCCCCTGTTTTGGTCGACGAGATAAACAGAGGGTTTCTATCCACTCCGCCACTTCCTTTCCCCTTCAACTGCTGGATAAATCGAGAAGCCATGGGTTGAGAAGATGAAGAGAAGATTGACGTGGAATTGGAATTCCAAGGGTTCGTGGCCAACAGCTTGGCGGATCTGGATCTGCACCACCTCCTCGGCCAGAGCGTCGGGATCGACAAGGTGTTGTCGACAAGTTGGAAGAGTCGCAGTTGCAGGCGCAGCCGCTAGCCATGTTCGTCGGCAGGGATGAGAGAAAAGGACCCGAGTCGATGAAAATCAAAAAGTGGCCACCGAGTTTTGGAGAAATCGGAGAAGGGAAACCCTAGGCGGAGAAATCGAAGAGGTAGAGAAGAGCATTTTTATTTTTTTATTTTAGGCGTTTTTTCTGGGTTTAAGCCCCGTATCTTTCTGTTTTTGTTTTTGTTTTTGTTTTGTATTTTAATTTTTGTTATTTTTTTCTTTATAATACACGTCATTTGGTGTGGTAAATCAATCTCCAACTCAGCTTCTACCGTTAGTTTAGTTATGCCGTCAACTGACGCCGTTAACAAAATGGACGGAATTGGGTATTTCGTGTATTTCGATAGTTATGGATATATTTGTCACAAACGTGAAAGTTATGGATATACAAGTGTATTTTGCCAAAGAAATTTTCATACTAAATAACCCTTGCTCCACAAATCAGGTGAATCATTTATTTTATAATATTGGTATTGATAATTGTTCACAAATTAAAAAATATTCAACTGACAAAAATTGTCCAAGACCGATAATAACCAAGGTTCAAGAAGGCACTAGGCATAAGAAAAACGTTTTGGTCTTGCTCAGCGCCTCATACGCCTAGGCATTATGAGCATAAATAGTTTTTTAACCTATAAACGCATACCAAATGTATGGAAGGTATGAAGGACGAATTGGTGGTTGCTTGAGACAGTGCCATTTTGGGGAAGACAACTGTCTTTTTCTGTCATTTTGTATACTAGTAATGTTTAAGCACGCCTCCAATTGCCTAAGCAAACCTCGCAACACAATCCTTTGATCGGAATTGAGAGGAATTTTTATGATTTTAAGGGTTTCATTTTCGGTAATACTATATGTTAGAGCTTTGAAGGTTTGAGGTTAAGAAGTTGGGTGGGTCGTGGGTCCACCATAGTCCACCCGCACCCACCCAATCTTTTGTGGGTCACCTATTTTATAACCCCCACCCACCCGTAGAAACCACTCACACGAAAATAGGTGGGTGGATTTGGGTGGATTTGTGGGTTCAACCACCCAATGCTCACTCCTAGGTGTACATAGGTCGGGTGTTGCGGGTTTCGTCATTTTAATCACCTGATCCATGGATTATGGTTTGAGAAATATTAAACCCAAACCCACCCAAAAAAATCAAAAAGCTACGGTTTGTTTCCAATTGGGTTGGGTCAGGTTAGCGGTATTTTTAAGTAAAAAACAACCAACACAAAATATGTAATTATTCTATAGCATAAAATATTATATAACTAATTAAAATTTTAAACGAATAAACCAAGGCGAAAGGTATCAAAACTCACAAATGTTGTTTGAATTTTAATTGAATGTGATTTATTTCAACATATGTATATTTTTTTACGACGTTTGTTGAAATAAGTTAAAAAGGTTATAAACGAACGCATTTATAATATGTTATTTTATTAAAATTTTACATAAGAAAAAGGATTACGTGAATCATATCTATATTAAATCTATGTCAAAACTTTAAACCGAAGAACACATTAAATTAGGGAGACCAAGAGAGAAAAATATGGTCAAATATCTTAAATTTCTCATAAGTATGGTTATATACGACCTAAATATTTTTTGGATACGAGCTCATACCAATAGTTGGAACACGGGTTGGGTCGGGTTCTACGGGTTGTGTAATTCAAAATCCAAACCCAACCCAAAAGAGGCGGGTTGTACAAAAGAAAACCCTCACTCAACCTCAAACCTTAATTTTAGCGACAAATACGGGTGGGTTGGGTCGGGTTGGACGGGTGGGTCGGTTTGTCCACCCCTAAATTCAGGAACTGTTAACGCCTAAAAATTATGGTGTGCCATATTGATAATTTACGGGTGATTAATGATTTTATAAGGCCAGATTCATGTTACAATTAATGTTACTATTTAAGTTGAGGTTTTATGAATCTTGACTTTTAAGTCCAAGTCACTAAATACTTTGCGAGTATTGGCATGAGTCAAAAGAGACATGGCTCTCTTGTAAGAGGTCTTGCAATGACACGAGAATAATAAACCATGATCATCAAGTCGAGTATCAAGAAAGCAAATATATACCAAGTCTGAGAGAACCATGATTAAGCATGAGAAGGGTCATGTCATGTGTGGCCGTGATGAGACGACCACACGACCCCAATGAGGTAACCATGTGGTTGTGAAGAGGAGGCGACATGTGGTAGCGAAGAGGCTATGAGGCCACATTGCCCAAAATAGACTAAATCATGAGAAGGCATGTCATGAGTGCATGCCTCATGAGCAAACAATCACGAGGAGACGATCACGCTCTCATGAGGAAAGGACCACATTATTCTGGGAGGTGAGACGACCACGCTGTTGCAACAAGGTGACCACGAGGTCACGACAAGGCGACCACATGGTCGTGAGTCAAGACCATGGCATAACACAATTGGGGTGCAAGTTGCACTCCAAGACTTTAACTTCAATAAGAGGGAGGCATCTAGGTGGTTGAGGGAGCAATCATCACACATTCATAGGCAGGTCCAAGGAAGAAGGGAGCAATTAGACATAAGAAATAAAGAAGAAATCACCATATATTATGAAGCCATCGGTGGTGAATGCATCCTCGTCGAGATCCGACAAAACTTCACATGTTTAATGTGTAAAAAGTGTCTCTAAAAACTATAGTCTAAGACTTTGTTTATAGTAAATAGGAGAATAGGTTTCTATGGCTTTTTCCTGCACAAACTCGGGCAAAAGTGTTCTTGTACGACTGGGACTCAGATTTCTTGACTTGGAGACAAGATAGGAGCTTAGGATTAGCGATGACCACCCTAAGGTTATCACCACCATGGATTTAATTTCAAATTGGGGTTTCTTGGTCCATAAGCAA